AAGTCTACGTTCACATTACCAGGCTGAAGTGGCACAAATCCAATTTTTTGCCCTAATGTGACTCAGATCTGATGTTTTCAGAGCTGTGTGGACACGCAAATCTGACCTTTTCAAATCCGACCCGAGCCACTTTCATATGTGGTCCTAGATCGGATACGTATCCGATTCATGGCCATGCGACCTTAATGAGACGCTCAGATCGGAATTCAGATGCTTTTTTTCCACCATCATTCAGCGTTACCATGGCAACAGCGCCGAACAGAAGTTAAAGCCTGTAAACGGTGAAAAAGCAGCTCATCTCACCTTTTTCTCCTTCGTCTCGCTCTAATAATGAAGCTGAGAGCTGATCAGAGTTAATTATCTTCTCAGCGAAGCTCGTTCTGCTCGTTAGTTTGTGCTGATGATGAACGTGATTCACTCACGTGACGTTACTGAGTAGGATGAGCTCATGAGGGTCATTTCAGGACGCCGGTTCATCACATTAATGACAGATTTGAGTCACTTACCTAAACAAGTGTGAACCATCGAGAAGTTTAGAAGTTATCCTACGGCTATACCCGTAAATATGCGCAACAGTTGATCAGTTCAATAAGGCAGCACAGCTCGTCAGAGCACCGCCACAGCCCGCCTTAGTTTCGTGTAGTTTAGTGACATCAAATTGATGCGCAGTAGCTTTAGCTCGCATGTAGAAATATTAGTATTAAAGCTCTTTATTGAGCTCGTAATTCAGAGGATCCAGTGGTATTTGGGAGAAGAATGTACACAGGACAAAACGTTTCAGGTTCTGGACATTATTATTTAACACAGGGGGCGCTAGAGGCGATTTTTCGAAAACCCTATTCATTCTGGCCATAGAGAAATGCAGCTCAGACCCCGGAGTTCCTAATATGGGCATAATGAGGACTACAGAATGACGCACGACTACAGTGGACTATTAGTTCTTATGTTTCATCGGTTCTCCACATAGAAATGATCTTGTGTTCTAACATGTTATTCTGTTGTCTTATTTTAAATATGATGGTTTTTAGTGTTCAGAGTTACCACATCACCTTGAATGGCTGTGTTTTGCATTGCTTATTGAAAATAAAAATGATTGCCTGTTGTCAGTTGGCCGATAACATCAGCTAACCGATATATCAGTCAGGCTCTTATCATTCCTCGGAATTCCACACTTTGGTTCTCAAACGTTAAACTGGGCCACAAGAACTCTGTGAGGAGGCCACGAAACAAAGGACGAAGACACAAACGTTAATAGAGAACAACTTTATTCATTTTCCTTCTTAAAGCTTCTTTTACACACATCTAGGTGTGGTGCAGTAGAAGGGAGAGAAATGTGCATCACCATTCAGAGAAGAGAGAGAGAAAGAGAGAAAGAAAGAGCGACAGAAGAAGAGAGAAAGAGAGCAGGATGTATGTGCACAGGGCAAAACGACATGGAGCCTTCGGGTGGTCTCACTAAACAGATGGGCTGGTGAAGAGGGAGGTGAATCTGATTGGTCACTGAAGCGATAATTCAACATTTTAGCAGTGAATTCCTCTTTTTCTACGTACACAAAGTCATCTGAACCCATTTTCTGTCTCAGTGCAGTTTAAACTGCCAGCACCATTGATGATTAACGTCGGTGTAGCCAACAAACGTGTAGCACAGCAGCTAACAAACAGCAGCAGCTAACAGGAGCTAACTAACGCCGGTTAGCTAATCACAGCTAGCTAACAGGAGCTAACCATCGCCGGTTAGCTAGCTACAGCTAGTTAACAGCAGCTAACCAACGCCGGTTAGCTAATCACAGCTAGCTAACAGGAGCTAACCATCGCCAGTTAGCTAGCTACAGCTAGTTAACAGCAGCTAACCAACGCCGGTTAGCTAATCACAGCTAGCTAACAGGAGCTAACCATCGCCGGTTAGCTAGCTACAGCTAGTTAACAGCAGCTAACCAACGCCAGTTAGCTAATCACAGCTAGCTAACAGGAGCTAACCATCGCCGGTTAGCTAGCTACAGTTAGTTAACAGCAGCTAACCAACGCCGGTTAGCTAATCACAGCTAGCTAACAGGAGCTAACCATCGCCGGTTAGCTAGCTACAGCTAGTTAACAGCAGCTAACCAACGCCAGTTAGCTAATCACAGCTAGCTAACAGGAGCTAACAATCGCCGGTTAGCTAACCACAGCTAGCTAACAGCAGCTGACCATCGCCGGTTGGCTAACCAATAATTTAAATTCAAAACAGTGTCAACTTTAAAAAAAAACATTTTATATCAGGCCTAACCATTTTTTTCTCTCAGTAGTTTGTAATATTTGTCTTAGCTGATTTTCCAAAATAAAAGTCTGAGTGCATTTAAATTCTGTTTGGGGAGATTAAAAAATACTAAGACCTTGTACGCAGGACAGTAATCTGGGTGGTTCACCAGTGGCATACAGTCAGCAGGGTGCTAAAAAACAAATTAGCATAAACCAACATGACTGGTCACCAGCAAAACCAGTATATCTTGCACTAGACCAGTATAAACCAACACAAACCAGCTTAGACCAGCATGGAACTGATGCTGGTCTGTGTTGTTTTTTCAGCAGGGTCACCATGTGTCCACCTTTTCTGAGAGAAACAAGAAGATTCAAGCTGGTAGCTTGAATAAGAACAAAAAAAGTAGGAAAGGATTTAAAAACGATTTTCTTTTGTGTTGCTGTTGGTTGGTTTTCAGTCTGTGACAAACAATTCAGGACTGATGATCCAAAAATGTAAAATATTTGTACTTTTAATGGACCAAATGTTGAACTACTGCCGTAAAATGACCATTAAATCAACAATATCCATTCATTTCATTCAACATGGCAATATATATCTGACAAAATGTAATTAAAAAGGCAAGAAAAATATATATTCATATATATATATATATATTTAAACAAAAGAGAACCCAAAAAAACCTTATCCCCATAGCACGTCTTGCTCATTTTCAGATTATAACCAGCGGTCACTCTCCCTCTCCTTGTTTCACCTGGCCAACACACGAAGCGAGGTTGAAGAAGTTCAGCATGCACAATGTAAAAAGGTGGTGACCCCACCCGAGACCAGAGTCAAGATGATCCCCTCCCACCCACCCACCCCGTTTAAGACAGAAGGAATATGTGGCAGTCTCAGTGAGCTTGATTGTTAAAACAAGACCATAATAAAAATAATAATAACAGTAAAAATAAAAACAACAACATCCTCACCGTTGGTTCCTATGATCAATATTACAGTGCTACCTGCTGAAAAACCCTTAAACTGCAGTGACTGCAAATTATCTGGTATGAATTATTCAGTAACTACTATTACATTATAGTGTGAAAGGCCCAAATCATGGAACTCATTTGAAATAAAATACATTTTTGTAGTTTTAAAAAGTTATCATTCACTCTTTAGCCTATACAGTCTATATACACCGGTCAGGCGTAACATTATGACCACCTCCTTGTTTCTACACTCATTGTCCATTTTATCAGCTCCACTTACTATATAGGTGCACTTTGTAGTTCTACAGTTACAGACTGTAGTCCATCTGTTTCTCTGATACTTTGTTAGCCCCCTTTTACCCTGTTCTTCAGTGGTCAGGAGCCCCATGGACCCTCACAGAGCAGGTACTATTTGGGTGGTGGATCATTCTCAGCACTGCAGTAACACTGACGTGATGGTGGTGTGTTAGTGTGTGTTGCGCTGGTCTGAGTGGATCAGACACAGCAGTGCTGCTGGAGTTTTTAAACACCTCAGTGTCACTGCTGGACTGAGAATAGTCCACCATCCAAAAATATCCAGCCAACAGCGTCCTGTGGGCAGCGTCCTGTGACCACTGATGAATGACTAGAGGATGACCAACACAAACTGTGCAGCAGCAGATGGGCTTTTATGATGTCACAAAAATGTTCAGCAGTTTAGCCCCGCCCATTTCCATGAGGCATAATACAGGGCAGCCAATCGGAACAGAAATCATTCACATTATTTTAGTTTTAAAGTCATTCGGGCCGGCCCGAATAGCATTTTACAGGCTTGGAATACTCGGCGGGGTTTCTGAACAAGTAGCTGAACAAGTTCTCAATTCCACCCTTAAAAACGACAATATTTCTGTATCATAATGAACCATAATTAGTTGAATAGCAAGTAAACAAGCACAGGGCAAGTAAAATGTTTGGTTTAAAACAGCCTCCGACTCCATAAACTCATGAGAATGTTCTAGAGTATTCAATCTATTCGGGCCAGCCCTAAAACTAACTAACTAAAACAGCCTGTTTAATTCTAAGGGATTAACAGAGGTCAGATGGTCATGTATAAATGAATCATGACTCCTTTTGGTAAATAAAAACCACACAAATGTCACAAGTAGACCTCGAGGACATAAATTAAAATGAAACATGTAGGACGGGCCTTTAATAGTAGTTGCTAAATGATCTGTAGCCGCTACTGAGCAGTGAGTCTGAATGTTTATGTGATGCCTGCAGTTTAAGGGGTTAAACACATCTGAGATTCCCTCCGAGCCTTTCCACTGTCCCGTTTATGAATACCCTCGGAGCCCCCCCCCCGCTTCTAAACATCTATCGCCTCTTCTACCCTTTTTAGCCTCTCGAAGAGGCTATATTTACCCACCAGCCGAGCATGCTTACTCACACACACACACACATACACACACACACACACACTCTCTCACACACACACTCACACACACACACTCACACACACAAAAGTGCACAAGTGGCAATTTGGAACAAAGACAGGCGGCCAAACGTTCACGTCTTTCCGACAGATCAGAGAAGAAGGCAGAGAAGCTACGCGGCACCAGAAAGTGGTGGTTTGCGCTGCGCTGTCAATGAAGAGACGAGACACAGGGCACCAACGCAGAGCCGCGTGTGACCAGACGAGATAAGGCAGAGGCGGAAAGAAGACATTCTGTTGATGATGAGTATTAGAGTTGGCCTATCCAAGCTCTGCCCACAAACACGTTCCTTAATAGACCTCTCAAGTCGTGACGTCGTTCTGCAGTCGGCGTCACCCGTAGCAGCTCTGGGCCAAAGCTAGTTTTCCCTTTCAGGAAAATGAACGGTGTTCCGCTAACGTGGTAAACAAAAACGTTCCAACACTGACATCACAAGATTAGCCATCTCACCAAAATACCCCAGGCTAACCACCAAGCTCTGTGAAATGCTAGTTGATTTGGCAGTTCTAGGCTGAATTGAAATAGAATGGAAACGTTCCAAAGCTGATATGATTTGCCGTACTAACATTTTTCCTCAGAACGTTGCCGAATTTTTGGAATTTTGAGGTCATTAAGGAAGCTGAAATACGACTTACGCTACATGCAACCTAGCATTGACCGACACATGCGCTAAACTGACATAAGACCTCACCAAAATACTCCAAGTTAACCACCAAGCTTTGTCAAATGTTGCTTCTACCAGTTTTAGGCTACACTTGTAGATATGCCGTTATGTCAGTGCGCAGGAGCGCCAGCTTGTTTGTAGTACGTATGTAGCATTATTCATGTTTTGACTACTGAACAGCCGCGTAATTCAGAGGATCCAGCGATAGCCGCCATTCTTTTGTTCTCATAGAGGAAACCTGCTTAGGCCCGGATTTGCTAATATGGTTAAGACACACAACTTACAAAGCTTTACAAGTTAAATTATAAAAAATCTTTTCAACCTAACGATAAACGGTAACGCATGGCTCGGTTTTGGTCAAAATCTGTCAACTCAGAACGTGTTAATATGTGTTAATATTTCTAAAAATATTAACATTTCAAAACAGGTTTATATTGAGATGGAAACGTTCTAGGCTAGATCGGGCGTTTATGTTTTTTATGAAAAATAATCATTTGATAGACAGGTTAAGCAGAAACTTCAGGCGCTTTTGCTGCTTTTTAACATTGCTAGCTAAGTTAGCATAGTAGCCTACTCAATTAGCTACTGTCATCTTACATTTGAATCGTGTTACAGAGGTAGTAGGCGAATATAGCGTTAGGGGTCTAGCCTAAGGACTCTTATTGGTGCTGTTCTGGCCAGGACAGGAATTCTGAGGTATTTTAAAGTTTCAGGGAAAACTAAAAGTTAATTTAAACATCCAGCAAAGTCTGGAAAAAACAAGACAGAAATATAATAAAAGCACCAATCAGACCTATCTGAGAGTGTCCGAGCGTGGTCCTGCGTGAGTGACCAAAGTCCAACACTCCCAACCTGCTATGCCACTGAAGCAGACCTGAACACAACAGCATGAATGAAGACATATGATTGAAACCGGCACTACAGGTAGTGCAGTAGGTCCAGCGACGTCTTAAAGTAGGTTCTTATTCACTTCACTGCTGGATGTGCATCCAGGGAACGCTGGTGTGGCCGGCTGAATGAATGAACGGACGAGTGGGCAGCAGTACAGTTATGCGTGCTAGGTTAGCTTTCGCATGGTAAGTGTTTCTTTGACTCAGGCACAGAGACTGTAAGGGAATGAGGTTTTGTTAAAGCTGTGTGGGCCCGACAACCAACACCGACCTTGTGACTGGTGAGGATACTGCTTGTGTCCCCAAGATTATAGCTGCGTCCCAATTCAGGGGCTGCGTCCTTCGGAGGCTGCATTTGAAGGCCGATTGCGTCACAGCAGTGCGACTAGGCTGTCCCATTTCGAAGGCTCCTTCACATGCGGCCGAGAAACGTGTCCTTCTTTCCCATGGCAACGAAGGGTCCAACGGGTGGACCAGCCAACATATACCGAGGTTCACTGTGTGGCGGCGAGGATTCGAGAACATGGCGGCGGGAGTCACTTTAAATGTAAGTACTGGGTTTAAACTGAGTCGAATTGCTAACAATAGATATGTTAAAAAAAGCCAGTGTGGTCAAACATTTCGTTTTGTTTTAGGGAGCAAGGAACAGACAGAAGCATCTCCAACTCTAATAAATTAAAAATAATAAAAAGTTAAAATAAAAAAACTAAAATCAAAGTTTCTGTCTCCAATTTAAAGAACTTTAAAAGAACTTAAAAGGAGCTGCATTACATGACGCAGCGTTAAGGGTGAGAACAGCGGTGCTGTGACACAAACAGGATATCCGCCGTAGAGCAGATCGTCTCATTTCAGTTCAGCCTCCATGGGTCAACACAGCCTTCGGGGACACACCTTCATAGACCACATCATTCAAAGGATGCAGCCCCTGAATTGGGACACAGCCTTTGACCGCCCAGATTACACTGAAGGAGAACACTGAACACATCGGACATCAGCTACGGTTTGTCATCAGTTTGCTGACGCTTGTCCAGTAGTTACAAAGGAGTGCATTTGTGGGCGGAGCTTGGAAGGGTTATTTAGCTTAGTTAGGGCTCAGTCACTGTGAATGGTAGAGCAAAAAAAAACTAGAGGTAAGAGTGCAGTGTTACACTGACACACAAAAAAGGCTAAAACCACACAGGTACACATCCGCACACACACACACACACACACACACACCCCAACACCCCACACCTCACTACTGATCCCTCTTTTACCACCCCCCACTCAAATACACTCCTCCAAAGGCATCCCAGGTGAACAAATGAAACCACTTAATGGTCAAATAACCTGAAGGAAAATGCAAAATAAAAGCACCTCGTGATCAGCAATGTGAAACCAAAGTTACACAGCAAAATAAAATAACAAATGGAATGAAAAAAAGGGTAAAATGTATCCGAGATAAAGCAGCAATGAGATAAACCCACCAACAAGTGGCAAAGCAAATTAAAATTAAAGGCAAAAAGTTACAGGCAAAGCAAAATGGCAAACTTCTCGTTCACGCTCATCGCAGATTAGACTCTCTCGCCATCCCATCTCTTTTTACCTACGTTAGCACTCCAGTTTTCAACTTATAATGAAGGGCACAAGTAGAAGAGCCACAAGCACTACATATATACACTCCATCCCACACTTAGTCTTAAGAAGATTTCAAGTTTCCCCTCAGATCAACAAAAAAAGCTTCAGGGGTCCTTTTAGCTACATCTACATAATCAAATCTTTGCTTGTGGTCTGCAGACATTTGGATTTAGTAGAACTCTGTGTCTCACCAGGAGAAGAACTCTTCTCCCCTCTGCTGGTCGTTGCCGGTACTGCAACCTGAGGACATCCAAAACGCACAGGGGGCCTCAGACCCCAAAGACACTACACTGGACTTTTCACTTAAAAACCCCTCCTGAATTCAAACATCCAGCAAAACGTAATCATAAAACGCTAAAATTAGACCACATAACTGAGCCGTCGTCGCGCTTCGAATCAAGGCAAAGCTTGGCAGATGCAGACGTCAATCAAGTTCCTAACAGGAGGCAGATGGGGGAGAAAACAAATAAAAGAAGAAATTCTCTTCCGTCCATAGCAGAATACAGAAATTCAGTAAAAAGTGAACTGTAAACAAACAAACAAACAAACAAACTCAGATGGAATTCACAAAGTTGGCCACGGGAGTCATGCAGGCGACCACAGAGACTGAGACCCATCCCACTCCGGCTCCCGCTTGCCCTGATTGGAGGGAGATGAGAGGAGGGGGCGGGGCTCTGAGACCGGCTCCTCCTATTCCAGCTTGACTCCGATCTTCTCTGTGTTGAGGAGGTGGAGGCTGTCGTCTATCAGGAAACTAAGAACGCAGGGCAGTGGAGGTCAAAACAGGTGAACAGTTCTAATTAATGCAACAGTTTAGACAAAAAAACAGAAACACCAAATGCTGTCAATCAGCCAAGACATGTCTGGTGTCTGAAGTTTGCTTCTTTAGTTTTGCACTGGAGCAAATATCACTAAATTTATCAAATATTGTGGAATCAAAATATCTGAGAACAGAAAAGCCACTTGAATAACTGACACGGTTACTACTTTTATTAAGCCACACACTGGCAGAGAAAACAAATGTCTGTTTATAAGGCCACATTTTAGCTTATTACCAGCAGAAATGGAGATGTTTGGCACAGCTTGCTAGACTCTTACATTTCGAGAAAACTTTTGAAGGGGAATTTAACAGATTTTTCAAAATTTCTGTATAATTCAGTCACTGAGATGTAAACAAAGTCATTCAGAGTGGTTTGATGTTAAGGGTAGAGAACCTTGCCAACTTAAGTTACGTTCACACAGCAGGTAAAAGTGGCCCAAATCTGATTTTCTCACCAAATCCAATTTTTTTTGTTTGGCCTTCACACTATCTTTTAAATGTGATCTGTATGCGACATCAGTCTGAACAGATCAGCTCCTAAAGAGCAGAGCGTCACGCTGCTTCACGGCTCATCCAGAGGTAAACAATCACAACTGCCAACGAACGTCAGTCGCTCCCGGAGGATCAGCTTCATCTTCGCCAGCATCACAGGAGCCATCATGAAGCTTCACTGACTGACAGCTGGGCTCATCACCCAGAATGTGTTCAAGCTGAAAAAGGGCACGGTCACTTCTTTGGTTCGCGTCCTCGGATTCTTTAAACTCTGCTTTAAGACTTTTAACTGTTCTGTGACGCTGCAGCCTCGTTCTCCTACGACCGTGTTCGGTATTTCTTTCAAAATCTCTTCAAACACGAAGGGTTTTGATGAGTCTCTTCTAGTTTTTTGTACAGAAACATCAGCCCAGATGTTTATGAGTCTCAGCAGCTCAAAATGATGACGAATGTCGAGTTGGATTGACGTAAAAGTTGCATGAATTCCAATCTGACTGTTCAGACTGAGTTGCATTGCCGCAGATCGGATGCGGATCGGATTTCAGTACCACATATGAAAGCGTCTCAAATCGGAAATGAAATTGTCAGATTCAGTGTGTTTATCTGTTCACACTGACACACAGACACACATCTGTGTCACATATGAAGAAAAAGATCGGATTTGGGCCACTTTTACCTGCTGTGTGAACAAAACCTTAGATTTCTTTATAGTGGTGCTGAATGGAACCAGGAGTCACAATGTCGACATGTTGGGTGATTGACCACACCTAGCATGTGTTGGGTGACTGACCACACCAAGCATGTGTTTGGGGATTGACCACACTAAACATATGCTGGGTGAATGACCACACCAAACATTTGCTGGGTGAACGACGACGCCAAATGTGTTATCTACTGTAAAGGAGAGTGAGACGTGGTACCTGTAGAAGAGGAAGTGGACGGGTACAGTGCTGAGGTGCCAGACGGCATGGGCGTCCAGCACCCAGAAGAGTGGCGGGAAATCGAGGAGCTCCAGCAGGGCCAGGCCGTGCAGCAGCACCACCACCACTCCACACTTCCACCAGTAGGGCAGTGTCCTCCGGTTCTGCCAGCACCAGCCCAGCCACCACAGCAGGTTTATCATGCCTGGAGGAAACGGACACAGTAAGACCAGGTACATTGTCCACTACAAGGTCAGAACACGTAATCTGAGAAATCAGTAAGCAAAAAAATATAGGGCTGGCCACTTTATTAGAAACTTTATAGGTCCACTACATAGGTGTGCAATTACATAGACTGTAGATGGCTTCACCATTGGTCAGTTTCTGACCACAGGACTGCTGTCTCAGCACAACAGTGACACTGGTAGCCACAGTGGTGCTGCTGGGGGCTTCCCACCAATGTCAATGCTGGGCTGAGAGTGGTCCACCACTCAAAATGTCCAGCAAAGAGCGGCTCTGTGGTCAGATGAAGGGCTAGAGAATGGCTAGCTCAAATTTTGCACGTCAACATGTACTTCAAGCAATAATTTCCCATTAGCAAACAACTGTTAAATGGCTCCTAACAGTTTACTTCAAACATGACAAGGAATAACTGCAGTTTTCATAATAAAATGTAAGGATTTCCAATTTTGAAATACACAGTTATGCCAAAATGAAAAAAACGCATAGGCATTTTCAGAAAAAGTGCAAAGGCAGATGCCTTCAAAACTGAACCCAGGAGGTGTAGAGTAGAAAGACTTAACGGTTCAAAGCTCATTATCTTAAGCACTCTGTCTCATAAGAGGATTAGATGGGCTTACAAACTGCAAAACAATGACCAAAGTGCCAGCAGAGTTACAGTACTTACAGATAAGCGTCAGAGAATCAGAGTGTCACTTCTACACATGGTTCTTGAAGGAAAGGCTCTACATACGGACGGTCAATATGGCCAAAACATAACATCCCAAAGCTTGACGATGTTTTCATGATACACAATCTGTATCATTTGCAAACAAGCTGGAATAAACAAATCGCACCAGCAAAACAGCAGTGCGTCATTTAAAAACGGCTGGGAAAAACTATGAGTAAAATGATTTTATTACTCAGCATTTGCAAAAAAACAAAGGACCAGGTGGAGGAGGTGCAAAATCAAACACGATAAAACCATTAGCATTACACGGGTGACAAAGCTCTGTCATGTGTAGTTTTTACTGTACTAAGCATTGACTGACTGGTAGTTTCCACTAGTTTTACTAGAATGTGTGAGCAAGTGTGCCAGCATACAACTGTAACTGTACTAAATATGGGTGCAATGGTAGTTTTACATCAGCCAGTGTTCCTCCTGGACTAGCTAGAGTATTAGACAGTGTTCTTCCTGGACTAGTTAGAGTATTAGCAAGTCTTCTTCCTGGACTAGTTAGAGTATTAGCAAGTCTTCTTCCTAGACTAGTTAGAGTATTAGCAAGTCTTCTTCCTGGACTAGTTAGCGTATTAGCAAGTCTTCTTCCTGGACTAGTTAGAGTATTAGTGAGTCTTCTTCCTGGACTAGTTAGAGTATTAGCGAGTCTTCTTCCTGGACTAGTTAGCGTATTAGCGAGTCTTCTTCCTGGACTGGTTAGAGTATTAGTGAGTCTTCTTCCTGGACTAGTTAGCGTATTAGCGAGTCTTCTTCCTGAACTAGTTAGAGTATTAGTGAGTCTTCTTCCTGGACTAGTTAGCGTATTAGCGAGTCTTCTTCCTGGACTAGTTAGAGTATTAGCGACTGTTCTTCCTGGACCAGGCTGAGTATTAGCGAGTCTTCTTCCTGGACTAGTTAGAGTATTAGCGACTGTTCTTCCTGGACCAGGCTGTGTATTAGCCAGTGTTCTTACTCAACTATCCAGTACCTCAGTATGGACAATGCAAGTCTGCCAAACAAAGAGCTGCTCTGAGATCAGATTCACTCTTATAACACCCAACTGGTGTAAGACTAACATCCCTCACAGACATGAAAAGGGACACCAACAACAAAACGAGCCAAAAACAACAGATGAACAGAGAGAGGAAGGACAGAGCGAGCGCTTCCGGCTGCACAGCCATGTGGTGTTTCAGAATGTCTGACCTATAGTGGCGTTGGCCGCCATGTTGTATCCGTAGTCGAAGCTGACGAAGGTGAGATAGGAGACGTGGGAGGTGAAAGCCAGGATGAGCAGAACTCCCACCATGCTGGAAACTCCCGGCCGCCGCAAACCCAGCGTCCTGTAATACACACACAAAACTCCGTCACTGATGGACCCAATTATAAACTTCCTTATTCACTGCTGTGCACATATGTAAATCATTCATTTATAATACACACTTACAGTACTGTGCAAAAGTCAGAGACCACCCTTAATTTATTGAATATCCAATCAAAATGGCTATTAAGTACAAGTTATTTTTCAGGTTTTCAGGTTATTTTGAACAGATTTTCAGTCAAGAAACCTCCAAAGTTCAGTCTTAGAAGTTGTTTCAGCATTTTCTGCTTCTCACCAACCAAATAATCCCAAACATATCCAGTGATGTTGAGGTCTGGACTCTTAAACACTCTGTACTCTTAAAAATGACGGTTCTTCAATGGTTCTTTCGGTCTGTTTGGGTGACTATTGAATTCTAGTGTTTGTTAGCGACATTAGCCTCGCCGCCCCAGTGCTAAACTAAATTGCTAAGTAAAATTTGGACTCCAAACATGTCTTTGCTCATCGACTACATCCACACACTTAATAAAGATGGTTCTTCAAGGGTTCTTTTGTAAAGAAAACGGTTCTATATAGAGCCATGAACACTCAAAGAACCCTTGGCATGACTAAAGGGTTCTTTCCATCATGAAAGCGTTCTTCAGATTGATGAAGAATGTGCTGTAGATGGTTCTATATAGAACTTTTTCGAAAAAGTTCTATATAGCACCCAAAAGAGTTCTTCTATTATTACAAGCTTGACACCGTAACAACAGCAGAACCTTTCTGGTGCCACATAGAACCATTTTTAAAAGGGACCATTAATCTATAGAGCCCTTTCGCATGAACCCTTCAGTCATGCAAGTGTTCATGGTTCTATACAGAACCATTTTCTTTACTAAAGAACCCTTTAAGAACCATCATTTTTTAAGAGTCTGGGGTGGTCAGTCCATTGTTCAGCTTCTTTGTTTGATGTGTCCGTCTCCTTTTCTCAGTGAGGTTCTTCACATCCTTTCAGACCCACAGCGCTGAGTCGTCTTCTCACAGTGGAAGGATGGACAGAAACACCTGTGGATGTTTTCAGATCTGAAGCAGCTTGATTTTCTCCTCTCTCTCAGAGATGAAAGCTTTAAGTGCTGTTTATCTGATGGGGGCTGTTTTGGGGTCTACCAGCTCTTCCAGGTGGTTGTTAGGAGCCCCATTTTGTGTGTAGCTTTTAATCAGTTTTTGAGCTCCAGTTTTGGAAACTCCTGTTTTTTTTCACTTATTTTACTTTGACTTTCTCCTTCATTCTGCCAGTGGATTATCTTCTATCTGATCTCCTCAGACATATCTTTATGTACATATGTCCCATATTTCAAGATTATATCAATATATTTATATAAAATATATAATTCACTGATGAAATCTCTTTGTACTATTATGATTTCCTGCACTAACTTTCTTATTGCTTTACAGCATGGTGATGCCCTCCTCTTATTTATGTCTTTAACAGAACCTCAGTCCTTGACTTGTTTTTTTGACTTCCCTCACCTGACGCAGCACAGGTAGATGGAGTAGAGGATGACCGCTGATGCACAGAAATAGTCCATCTTCTGCAAAACGACAACAGGAAATATCACAGTCAGATATTTCAGTGTTTGTTCTGGGTTATGAAAGCTTTTATCAAAGCTGGGTTTATCACTGCTGATAGTTCACGCTGGTATTACAGCTTATTGCATTGTAAAGGTCCAACATATGAATTTTGCTCAGTTTGTCGTTTAGGAAATAATACAATACAAGACAATTAAAGGATGAGGGCCTTTAATCCTTTCACTGAAGTGATGAAGCCTCCAGTACCTCAGTCAGATACGTGTCTCTAGTGTGGAACACTGTAGACCAAAACCAGGCATTCAGGGACACCTACAGGAGACGGACAGACAGACAGACAGACAGAAATGCTGCTGAAGATGAATTTACGTTTATGATTATAATATGTCAGTACTATGTTACTTGAAAGGGTTCAAATAATTCACAGAAAAACGTTCGATGTGTCCAGAACGATGAACAGTAGCAGAACTGTAGATCAAGAACGTTCTAATAATGTTTTACGTCTAGAATTAAATAACATATAGAACTAAAAACATTACCCATTAATATGCAGGATGCAGCTGTAATTACATTAAGATTCAGAATGAAGCTTTAATAAAACTAATATCCAGAAAGCAAAAATGACAAATTAATTTCATTAAATTTAAGAAAATTAAGTTCTAAAGTTCATATCCAGTAATCAGTTATTAAGAAATAAACACTCAAAACAAAGGTTTAATAAAGTTAATATCTAGAATTAAATTATTATAAAATATCCAGAATGCAGCTGTAATAACATTAATATTCAGAATTAATCTTTAATAAAACTAATATCCAGAAAGCAATAAAAACATTTATATTCAGAATGAAGTTATAATAAATTTAACATAGGGAATTAAGTTCTAATAAAGTTAATATCCAATATTCAGTTATTAAGAAACAAGCACTCAAGATGAAAGTTTAATAAAGTTAATATCTAGAATTAAATTATCACAAAATAAATATCCAGAATGTAGTTGTAATTAGATTAATATTAAGAATGAATCTAATCTTAAGAAAAAAACTAAATGTCCAAAATTAATAATAACATTTATATTCAGAATTAAGTCATAATAAATTTTATTAAATGTAATTAACTGTATTAAATTTAAGAGAATTAAGTTCTAAAAGTTCTAAAAAAAATATCCAGTAATCAGTTATTAAGAAATAAACACTCAAAATGAAGGTTTAATAAAATTAATATCTAGAATTAAATTATTAAATAATATCCAGAATACAGATGTAATTACATTAATATTTAGAATTAAATGATCATAAAATAAATATCCAGAATGCAGCTGTAATAACATTAATATTCAGAATGAATCTTTAATAAAACTAATATCCAGAAAGCAATAAAAACATATATTCAGAATGAAGTTATAATAAATTTAATGTAGAGAATAAAGTTCTAATAAAGCTCATTACCTAGAATTCAGTTATTTAGAAACAAACACCCAAAATAAAATGTTAATAAAATTAATATCTAGAATTCAATCGTTATAAAATGAATACCCAGAATAGAGTTTAAAACTTTTAATTTATATTCAGAAAAATGTTATAATAAATATAATATCTATAAATAAATACATTTAACATTCAGATTAAGGTTACATAAAACGTTACATCCTGAATTAAGTCTGAATAATATCCAGCATGAATTTCTAATAAAATTTCTATCTAGAATGATGTTCTAATAACATTAATATTTACATTGAAGTTTTAATAAAATTAATATCCAGAATGAAAACATAATAAAATTAATATCTTATAATAATATTAACATACAGAAAGCCTCATATCTCTATAATGATGATCACATCTTAAGATTAATATCTTAAGTATAATATTTACTATATTATTTACCATTTAATACCTAATTGCAGTTGAAGTACTCAATAAAGCATCTAAGAACACTTTGTGGTATCAAGCTTATAATACTTTAACTACACAGTACAAACTATAAACATCCAACTGATTCCAAACTTTTGAACGGAGCTCTGATTCTGGCGCTCGCTCCAAACTCAAACGGACACAGGCTGGTGGTCTCACCAGTGAGAAGGCGGTGATGGTGTGGTACATGGGGCTCTGGCGGGGGACGGCGCTGCGGTAGCGGAGCAGCATGAGCAGGCAGGCCAGGCCGTTCAGCAGAGACGCCAAGGCCGACGCCGGCTCCTCAAAACACAGGAACCGCGCAAACGGCCACTACACAGAGAGAGAGGACGAAGAGACACAGTGACCACACAATAAAGAAACTGGCAGAAACGCCATACTGTTACCTGTAAAGATGGATAATATTAATATTAATTAATTAAGCTTCCACATAATTCTAGCTATTAAACAGCTTGGAGTGTGAGATGATTTACACTGTTAGAAATAAAGGTTCATTTTTAATTAATCAAGGTACAAACAGTGTAAATGTTCCCTCAAAGCTCCAACAGTGGTTTTAAGGTCTGATTGTGAACCTTAAATAAGTTTTTCCAGGTGAAAAGTTCGTATTTGTACCTTTTCATAACTGAATGTTTTAAAACAGAACAGTAAAATAAAAGCCTGGAGACGAGACGGGGTGTGTGGAGTCAGTACAGCTTAGAACTTATCATTTCAGTGGATTATGGTTCAGTTATGTTCCCTGACTAAAGGTACTGAGATGGACCCTTGAGGGTTCCACCCCAGTGACAAGAGGGGCACTGCCCCAGAGACAGTTTACTACCTTTATTTCTGAGAGGGTAGAGATGGTGTTTGTACAATGCTAACTGGTGTACATACGCTTCCATTACTTGTTAGCTACATTAGCCTCAGAGTGCTAAAATGTCAGATGCAAACTTCAGACACCAAACGTGTCCTGAATGATGAACTACATTTAGGGTCAGGAGGTAAAACTGCGTACTTTTCACCAGACTATTCCTTTAAAGTCATCTCATCCTGTTTAAAAGGTCCATATCCTACATTTTCCTTTTTATTTAAAACTTTCCCAGAAATTCACTTACAACATTTGTGTGGTTTTATGCGCCAAAACAGTCATAATTCATATTTGCATGACCATTTCTAACCTTTCTTTATCCCCCCCTCAGAATTAAACAAGCATATTTTGTTACTGCCCCTTTAAGAATGGCATATGCAAATGAGCTGTTCTGCCCTGTATTGAAGCTCATTAAAAAAAGCAGTCTAAGCTGAAACACTCAATGTAACTTCAAAGTGAATGGGCGGAGCTAAACCGCTGTAGGCTGACTAGGCGAATACACATTGTTTTTTTGACGTCACAAAAACTATGAAATGAAATTATAAAATTAGTTTTTGTATATGGACTGTATGGACTGCAGAGTGAAACAGTAGGTCTTAAAACTTTAACAGCAGCCACGTTTACATGCAGCCTGATAATCCATTAATAATCCGACTAATAGCTCAATCGGAAAAGAATATGTCCATGTAAACACCTTAAAAGGCCTTTCGGAATGCAGTTTCTATCTGATTGATCGAGGTGGGTAATCCTGTAAATAATCTGTTAAATAGAAGAATAACATCCGTGTAAACGTCTGTATCTGATTACATTCCCTATCGGAAAGTTTAATTTCTGATCATGTTCGTCACGTCATAGTGAAAGTTTATACCGTTCAACACGGCGGAGCAGAAACTGGTCTGCAGAGGAGACGAAGTTTATGCTCTGATCTTTAAAAGACGGCGGTGGGACGGACGTCCAGCTTATGTGTCTCAGAACACGACGTCTTCCTCTCGGCCTTCTTTAATAGGGACATGTGAAGGACGTTTTCCTGAGTCTGACATCATTTTAAAGCAGTTAAAAACACAAGCACTGCTCACTGCTGCTCATCTTGCTCTGGCTGGACTCACGTGATGCTGGTTGTCATGGTAACGTCTACACTAAGTGGTGCACGTAATTTTGGATCTGATTACTTGTAGTGAGCATGTAAACAGAGATTTTCATCAGATTGTTAAGTAGAGAGAATAAACACCTCAGTCTTCAACTATAATCGAAATGTATTCAATCGGATTGGCAAAAATCTTTGTATGTAAACACAGACAGTGATTACCAGTTCAAACTCATCATAAAAGTGAGGAAAACTCAGTTTTCCTTGATACGGGCCCTTTAAAGGCGCTGTCACCAACCTTCCCGTGGAACTGAGGTACTCTGTAGCCTTCGGCCTGGTACAGGCCCACTGTGGTCCACATGCACTGGTACCGGCAGTCATCGCGACACGTCCAGCCTGAAAGAGCAACAAGCTTTGGTCAGACACATTCTTAATGACCGTTTCTTAATGACAGCTTATGTGTGCAGTAAAACCTATACAGGCTTTTCTGGACAACTATAACCATTCATAACCCAAATACTACACTAAATATTAAAGAAATATAAAATATTGAACACTATGGCCCAAACCTTAAACCACATAATGATCCGAACCTTCACGCTTGTTGGGTCTTACATATGTATTTTCACTTTAAATTGAAAAAATATATATGTATATATATAGACCAAAGAGAAAAACAATTGAAAGAAGAAGCTGCTGGTGTTCTCCATGTTTCCATGATTAAAGGGTTCTTTGCCTCGTGAAATGGTTCCTCAGATTGATGAAGAATGTGCTGTAGATGGTTCTATATAGAACCTTTATGAAAAGCATTCTATATAGCACCAAAAAGGGTGCTTCTATTGTTACAATGTCAGGATTATTACAATCAAAGAACCCCATTTTTAAAAAGGTTCTATATAGAACCATATAAAACACACTAATAATAACACAATCACGTAAAGGGCTCTTTGAATGTTCAAGGTTCTATCTAGAACTATTTTCTTTACAAAAGAACCCTTGAAGAACGAACTTTTAAGTGTGTTGTCGATGAACAAAGACATGTTTGCTTCTTTAGTTTAGCACTGGAGCGGCGAGGCTAATGTTGCTAACAAACACTAGAATTCATTAGTCACCCAAATAGCCAAAATTGTTTCTGTAATAATCTCTTGAAACACTATATAGACTAAAAGAAGAACATCTGAAATCAAACAAAGAAGCTGCTGGTGTTCTCAGAACAATGGACTGGCCACCCCAGAGTCCAGACCTCAACATCACTGAATGTGTTTGATTAGTTCAGAAAATGATCAACCAACTTCTAAGACTGAACTTTGGAGGTGTGGAAAATGATCCCTGCATTGGAATCGAAGCTGTAAAGATTGGACACAATAAATAATGAAAAATTTGATATTATATTTGAAAATTCAACGTAATTTTACATTAAATATATGTGCTTTCTGCAGGTGATGGTGAAAAATGAACGTTATTAAAGGACTGTAAATAATATACATGCACATGTATATCATGTACATGAATGCTATTATATACTAATTTAAATATGTAGTTAAAATCAGAGAGGATTTTTAATGTGAACATTTACACTTTTTTATTTTTATGCCTCTTCAGTCTGTGCCTCACTTTGAAACAGAAGGCCCAAAACAGACTGAGGTCGCTGTTGGACACGCCCGTCAGGAAAAACCAGAAATTCAGCAAAGGTGAGGACGTGCTGTCCATCCTCAGCTCACCTGCACCATCTACACTCTTAAAGAGGACCTATTATGCTTTTCTGTTTTCCTCTTTCCTTCAGTGTGGTGCAGATTTTTGTGCATGTAAACGTTCTGCAAAACCACAAAGCTCAAAGTTACTCCAGAGGGAGAAACTCAGTCCTACAGAAACCACTTTTCTCAGCTGCCTGTAACGCCTCGTTGGAATTCCAGCCCTTTTCCTTTGTTACAAGATGACGCAATCCCGTAACACAGTCCGTACTGCCCGCCCACGGGCCAGCTCGGCCCGCCCGCACACAAGAGAGCTGCAACGTAGATGTTGTTGATGAGCAAAGACACACCTGGAAACCAAATTTTGTGCCTATAGTTTAGCATTAGAGCGACGAGGCTAATGTCGCTAACAATCACTAGAATTCAATAGTCACCCAAATAGCCCAAATCATTTCTGTAAAAATACATCACCACAACACCTCCCAACCTGCCCGCCCGTTTGTTAAGGTGGCCCGTTTGTTAAGGTTTGTTAAGGTGGCGCAGGCTTGTCGATGTGGTTAATGAAACAGTATAAATAGGTGTAGGCAGGATTTCGCTGCTGTCAGATCAAAACCTTGTATCTCGGTTTTTGTCGTTTTTCAGGTTTTGACATAATTTGAACAGACTTGTTGCCTTTTACATTGTGTGTAAATTTCATGATGAACGGACTAAAAGAAACGGCCCAAAGCTACTTGAAAAAAAGTCTGGTTCCATTGACTTACATTAAAAGTAAAGTATGTTTTTCCTTCTCCTGTAAAGTTACCAGTTAGGAGATACGAGGTTTTGTTGCGACATCAGCGACTTATATAAAGCGTTTTAGTGTCTGTGTTTTGGTGATTTATGTCTGTTGACTCCTCATTTCTCATTTTTAGGTGTTGTTTTTCTTTTGAATTGTCTTTAGTGTATTCATTGTGCTGATTTTACGCCTCGTTGGAATTCCAGCCCTTTTCCTTTGTTACAAGATGACGCAATCCCATAACACAGTCCGTAGTGCCCGCCCACTGGCCAGCTCGGCCCGCTCACCGGCCAGCTCGGCCTGTCCACGCACACAGAGCTACAAAGTAAAAGGTTCCGCTCTGGAACGTCCAGCTCCTGTCTCGCTTGCAAAGGTAGATCGTCTCTACCGACTGGTTCTACATGACTTTCAGGATCGGACTTTGGCTCAAACTGATATAGCTCTTGTATTGTTATGACGTCAGGCTTGTTACAATAAAAGAACCCTTTTTGGTTCTATATAGAACATTTTTTAGAAAGGTTCTATATAGAACCATTTAAAACACACTATCAATCTGAAGAACCCTTTTTATGACGCAAAGAACCCTTTAATCACGCAAAGGGTTCTTTGAATGTTCATGGTTCTATCTAGAACCATTTTCTTTTTTAAAGAACCCTTGAAGAACCATCTTTTTCAAGTGTGTAGATGTAGTCGATGAGCAAAGACATGTTTGTAGACCAAATTTTGCGTCTTTAGTTTAGCACTGGAGCGGCAAGGCTAATGTCGCTAACAAACACTAGAAATCAATAGTCACCCAAATAGCCAAAATCATTTCTGTAAAAATACATCACCAAAATGTCTTTCAAACAGCTCGGAGGGCTTCATTAAGGCGGCGCAGGCTTGTGTTTGTGGTTTAGGGAGCAGTATAATGTAGTGTAGCGGTATATATTTGGTGTTTTAGTGTTTTAGTGACTCTTGTTTTTCTTTTGAATTGTCTTATGAAGTGTATTTTTGTGTCTCATATGTATTTATTGTGCTAATTTTATGGACAGCACTTTGGTCAATGTAGGGTGTGTTAAAACTGCTTTATAAAATTAATTTACCGTGAAATGTAAACACTCAGAGTCTTGAGGCGGTTTGTGAACACAAGCCCTGTTGTTTAAAGCGGCCGCCAACAGGTTTTATTCATTTTCATAGCCAACAGTGAATCATACTGTGTTCTAAACTACATCAACAAGTCTGCACAACATCACTTAAGACCTGGATGTGGTCTGAGTGAGCAGAGAGAAGGTTTAGTGATTATTTTTACACAAACAGTCTGAGATATTTGGGTGACTATTGATGTCTAATGTTTGTTAGCAGCGTTAGCCTGCAGTGTTGCCAAACAGTTCCTTTAAATGGGGAAATTTCTGCATAATTCAGTGGCTGAGGTGGAAATAAAGTCATTCAGAGTGGCTTGATGTGAAATGATTAGTGGTAGAGAAACTTACGGACCGACAGTGGTGGTGAATGAAACCAGGCGTCATAATGTCTACAAATACAGCCATTTTATTTACCATCCAAAACCACTACTGAACCTGTCTTCTGAGTTTTATAATAAATGTTGATGATGGTAAAATAGGGTAAATCTGAAAAAATATTTTTTTGGGGGGGACTATTTTGCCTTAGAACACCCTGCATGTATCCATCCACCATGAATGGGTTAACAAGACATTTTTGGCTAAAACATTATCACAAAACTATCATAATTCAGTGTCTCAGTCATCAGGCAGTGAATTTATAACCATGTCATGTAGTAACTTTCTGTGAGGGAGCTTTTAGAGGTGGACGTCTGGTTCCTATCACCACCACTGTGAACAATTCTGACTCATTAGGTTTCTCTAAAAACTGAGCGTTTCAGACCAAACCACTCTGAATGACTGTGTTTACATCTTAATGAGTGAATTATGCAGAAATTTTGAAAATTCAGTGGAGTTCCCCTTTAAGAGAGAACCTGCCTGCGTTAGTGTTGAACACTTTTCCGAGCAAACCGATGAGCTTCAGCTGCAACAGTCCACTCACAGAAATACAAACCACAGCTTTCAAAAACATCTGAAAAGACCCCCGACACTGGCCCCCCTTTGTTGGCCCCCTCACCTGGCTGTACTGTTTATGTCAGTGCTTCCAGCTTCAGTCCTGCACTGACCACACTGACCATTAGCTAAAGATTACACCCTTCTAGACCTCTCTGCATACTTTGTCACCCTGTTCTTCAGTGGTCAGGACCCCCCAGGACCCCCACAGAGCAGGTATTATTTGGGTGGTGGGTCATTCTCAGCACTGCAGTTACACTGATGTGTGTTGTGATGGTACGAGTGGATCAGACACAGCAGTGCTGCTGGACCGAGAATAGTCCACCAACCAAAAATATCCAGCCAACAGCGTCCTGTGACCACTGATGAAGGACTAGAGGATGACCAACACCAATTGTGCAGCAGCAGATGAGCTATCGTCTCTGACTTTACATCTACAAGGTGGACCAACAAGGTAGGAGTGTCTAATAGAGTGGACAGTGAGTGGACACAGTGTTTAAACACTCCAGCAGCACTGCTGTGTCTGATCCACTCAGACCAGCACAACACACACTAACACACCACCACCACGTCAGTGTTACTGCAGTGCTGAGAATGATCCACCACCCAAATAGTACCTGCTTGTGAGGGTCAATGGGGGTCCTGACCACTGAAGAACAGGGTAAAAGGGGGCTAACATAGTATGCAGAGAAACAGATGGACTACAAAGTGCTCCTATATGGTCAGTGGAGCTGATAAAATGGACAGTGAGTGTATATATAAGGTTTACCTGTCTTTTAGTAAAATGTGGACAGTATAATTAAACATGCATAGATAAATAAATCATAGTAAATTAACTATAGTATAAAACAATACATGAAATTAAATTATTATACATTAAAAACAAAATAAACCCTCACCTGTGAGCGCCATGTACGGAGGCTGCGCGGACTGGAAGCCTCTCAGCCGGGCTCCAGTGCAGTTGGTTCGGCTGCACTGCTTCACGCAGTCCCGGTAAACCGGCTCCTTATCGCCCTGCGAGGCGCCGCCGGGGCCCGCCAGCAGCAGCAGCAGCGCGGCGGCCGCCACGGCCCATAGTCCCGGAGCCATGCTGGAGCTGGAGCAGCAGCCGCTGGAGCTGTCAGGCCTCTGTCAACTACAAGGCACGGCGAGGCGAATATCCGCTCTGTCAAGCCATTGGAGCGAAACACGACACGAACGGGCGCTTAGCGACTCCTGAGAGCCGGTCAGTGCTTTAGTGGCGGACACGGGACTATGGAGCCGCAGATGTTCGTGTTTATTTCGGCTTTATTCGGGTCTCTGTAGCGTTACACAAACAGCAGCACCGAGACAGTGAGAGAGTGACGAGAGCAGCGAGATGGATCACTCCGCTTCAAACCGAACACCCGGAAGTTCACTTCACTCTCGCTCTTTTCCTCACCAGAGAGAGGAGAACTGCCACTCTGCATTGTTATCCGGGTTTCTCAAACGCTAGAGGGCGCCCCGAGCGAGTCCAAAATGAATGGGTTAATATGGACCATTTGAGCAAAATCATAGTTTATAAATGCTGAAACATTTTTAATGTAAAAGAATAGATTCACTTCCTGAACACAGAACAGCATAAAACATTTTAACACTGCTGTTATATTTTTAAGAGCTTTTGAACTCCTGAGTTATAAGAGTTTAAAACGGCACCTCATGTACGTTATGACGTCAGTGAGCGTGAACAGCCAATGAGCTGCTCCGCTCACCAACCAATCAGCACTCAGTAGCAGTAATGCTAATCAATCAGCACTCAGTAACAGTAATACTAATCAATCAGCACTCAGTAACAGTAATGCTAATCAATCAGCACTCAGTAGCAGTAATGCTAACCAACGAGCACTCACTAGCAGTAATGTTAACCAATCAGCGGTCAGTAGCGCTCAGCGGTCAGTAGCACTCAGTAGCAGTAATGCTAACCAACGAGCACTCACTAGCAGTAATGTTAACCAATCAGCGGTCAGTAGCAGTAATGCTAATCAATCAGCACTCAGTAACAGTAATGTTAACCAATCAGCACTCAGTAGCAGTAATGCTAATCAATCAGCACTCAGTAGCAGTAATGCTAACCAACGAGCACTCAGTAGCAGTAATGTTAACCAATCAGCGGTCAGTAGCACTCAGCGGTCAGTAGCACTCAGTAGCAGTAATGCTAACCAATCAGCGGTCAGTAGCAGTAATGCTAATCAATCAGCACTCAGTAGCAGTAATGTTAACCAATCAGCACTCAGTAGCAGTAATGCTAATCAATCAGCACTCAGTAGCAGTAATGCTAACCAACGAGCACTCAGTAGCAGTAATGTTAACCAATCAGCACTCAGTAGCAGTAATGCTAACCAATCAGCACTCAGTAGCAGTAATGTTAACCAATCAGCACTCAGTAGTAGTAATGTTAATCAATCAGCACTCAGTAGCAGTAATGCTAACTAATCAGCACTCAGTAACAGTAATGCTAATCAATCAGCACTCAGTAGCAGTAATGCTAACCGATCAGCACTCAGTAGCAGTAATGCTAACCAATCAGCACTCAGTAGCAGTAATGCTAACCAATCAGCACTCACTAGCAGTAATGCTAACCAATCAGCACTCACTAGCAGTAATGTTAACCAATCAGCGGTCAGTAGCAGCCATATTAGCGTCTTGCTGCCTAAAACCTGTTTGCTGTAGAAAAAAGGAAAAACACAGGTAAGTTTTCACTTCCCAAGGACCCTCAGCCAGAGTTACAGTTAGCACGTTTTGGTCATCATGCAAGTCAGTACTGTTAACTGTAAAACGCGTCACTGTTTTAGTTCAGTTGTGTGCGAGATTTGTTGCGTTTGTTTATGAATATATTGAAGTTTACAAGAAGTCAGGCAACAAATTTCTATTAACATCTTTTAATTACTTTTTTAATAGAATTGAGTTCAAAGCATTTGTGAAAGAGTTAGCAACACATTTTTGTTAGTAAAATTAAATATACATTAAACTAAAAATAAAATAGTAACATTAATAAACAGACAGTAAACATTATAAACCACTGATTAATCACAGCAACATGTAAACAATTATAAAATTAGAACAGCAAAAATTCATATTAATTATATATATATATATATATATATATGTGTGTGTGTGTGTATATATATATATATATTCCTCTCTGATGATATATTCCTCTCTGATGAGCCTCGACCCAAAGAAGCAGTTTTATAGAGCTGAAAATACTGTGTTAAACTGTAGAATAAGAGTCCTGATAACATCAGTGACTAAAATCTCTGTGACAAATGAATTTTTAAATTAAAATACATATTTTTTTAATGCAGTATAATATTAATGATATAAAAAGTAAACATGAATCAGTTTTATATAAACCTCTTAAAATTATTGTTTTATATTAAAACATGTTTTGAAAATTGGTTTTGTGATGAGCTGTTTTACAGATGCAGAGCGACTATGAAACAGGATAAACAAGGAAAATCAGAGAATCAGAAGGGAAAAGTGTTATTTAATCTGAGCTCAACTGTGTAAAAGTACATACTGACTTTTGGAGCTGTGGTTAATATTTTAATCATCTGATTACTGAGCTAAAATCCAGGTCTCTTTATCGGATTTCTTAAAAAGATTTCTAGGCCTTACTCTGATCTAAGAAATCAGAGTGTGCTGTTTACATGACCATTTAAATAATCAGATAACTGCAGAAATCTGATTATGATCAGATTATGAACTGCATGTAAACACACTCATTGACATGTCATTTAGTTCCCAGAAATCACCAGGCCTTCTCTGAACACCTAGAAGGCCCTGAGGGTCCCCACTGTGTTACTGTAGCCTCATCTCGAGGTTGTGAAGGCATTAACTCATTTCTCAGCATCTTGTGAGTTTTGTTTTGTTTATATTACTTATATGGGACTCAACCACGGTCGTTGACTGTAGCCTGCACCGAAAAACCACTTAAACCAAGGATAAAATCTGCGGCCTCATTCTGAGTGTCATTCCGCTGACCGCTGGTTGCTAAGTAATAACAATGGTTTGTTTTTTGCAGTAAGAAATGGTTAATAATAAAAAACGGAATTTCTTTGCTTTACTTATTGTTCTTGTGTTTTATAGCTTTAGATTTTCCACAAAACATTCTTCGGCGTACTTAAATACACAATATGTTTATCTGAATTCAACATATTGGAAAAAAAAAACAAAATGTGGCCTTCGCAAACATTATTGCAAATTTAATATTTTATTTTTTATTTATATTCTGATATGTTACCAACTCAGCAAGTTAGTAGAAATTGCACTAACATTTGCAGAAAAATGCCATATTTAAATTAAGAAAATCAACAAAACGTAATTTGACTGGGGGTGTTCAAACTTTTGTATACGACTGTATGTATGAGTTATACAGGGTTGTCCTCTATTGTTGTTTATTGTCCTTTTTCTAAAGATGTAATGCAAAGTTTGTTGCTTCGGTGCCATTCAAAATTAGGTCAATACTAGCCCCCTGCTGTTGAAAAGTAGTAATGTCTTGAGATATTGCACACATCAGGAAAGCAATATTTAAAAAAGATATATTTTTGGTTCACTTGGTTTGCAGAAAATGGGCCTGATAACTAAAATAAAAAATAATAATAATAATAAAAAAACGGACGGACAGGGGTCCTTCTGGGGTACGTTGCCTTGAGGCAACAATGGCAAAAAATGATACAGAGCTAACAGAAAGAACACTTCTGTTTCATGCTGTTCTCAAAGATACCATGTCTGCATGATAAAACCTTTCATGCTAAAACATATGTTAATTATATTAATTTTCATGACTTTCCAAACAAAACTAATGATACTAGTAAAACATATTGGATGCTGACTGCTACATGACATAATTGACTGGAAGGGGGTTCTATCCACTAAGTTTCCGAAATAAGCAAAACACAAACGATTCTAATAAAAATAATTCTAAAACTAAACAATAACTGCAATATTATTTGATGTGGCTGCATAAATGACACCTCACTGGCTAATCCATTCCACTCTCGCACAATGTTGCTTTAAGGCAACGAATGTATCTCAGCAAATTATCCATATAATACTGAAAATTAAAAAACTGAACTTTACCCTCAAACAATGTGAAGCCTATTTTTGGATGGATCTAAATTGGCGGTTTATGTGTCGTTATGTGTCAGGGAGTGGGCTTTGTGTGTTGGATGGTCACCATCATGGTGAAGCCACTGTCGCACAATGTTGCTTTAAGGCAACAAACACATCTCAGCAATTTATCATAACATACAAATTACGAATATAATACTGAATATTAAAAAGTGAACATCACACTCGAACAGATGTTTTGGAAGGATCAAAATTGAAGTTTTATGTGTCAAATGTATTTCAGCAGTTTATCATAAACAAATTATTTATATGATACTGAATATAAAAAAGTGAATTTCACACTCAAACAGATGTGATGCATATTTTTTAGATGGATGAAAAATGACAAATAGTTGCTTTTCTAAGGGAAATTGTCTTGTCTGCTGCAGTAAAGTGCATCATCCACAAGCTGCACCGTGCCGAAACCTGGTTTAAAAATGCCCAGCAGAAGATCTACCATGCTTTTTTTTTGGGTTTATTAAAACTCTTCCGTCCATTTTTCACCATCTCATCACCATTAAATATGTATCCTGTCATTGTAAAGTGAGAAAATTGGATTTGTTGCCCTGAGGCAACATAAAGGGGTCAAGTGCAATTTCCCTTTCTCAGAAGCTACCAACATGAGCAAAGACACAAGGGTACGAAAGACTTCAGTGGTTTTATTCGGAGTCGGGTGCTTTTTTTTTAAGTTACAGTGGTTTTGGACAGAAAGATGAAGCAAGCAAAAGAAAATGAAAGGAAAGAAGAGAAACCGAGGAATGGAGGATGAGTGAGGGAGGGACGTGAAGAAGCCAAAACAAAGACGTTCTCTTTTGTTTTTCGTTCTCTCGCCTTCCCTCTGACAGCCCTCTTCTCCTTTTCTCCACCTCTGTTTCCATCTCTTCCTTTTTCTCTACCTCCGGGGCAGAAAGGGAGGGGCTGAGAGAGAGGGGTGGCGCTCTATTGTAGAAGTCAGTGAACCCCACGCTTTCAACCGCCTCCCTTTCTCGTTGTTGAAAGGGGAAAGAAAAGTACTGCTCCACATATTCAGTAAGTCCAGGCAAACAGCCCTGCTGGTTGAGGCCAAACTGCTGATCTGTTTCAAATTAGCAGCTGGACATGCATCATAGCACCCAAGAAAGGCTTCTCTGCTTCATGTTGTGGCCTGAGAATTAGCATAAAGTTTGTATGGTGCATGCACTGGTTGTCTGGACTGAAGGAGATACAGAAAATAAAAGAGAGTGCGATGGAAAGGCAGAGAGAGAGAGAGATGATAGAGAGATATTGCAGTTTAATGACAGCCTTATTTTTATTCAGCATGATCCCGCTGTCTCCACAGCTAACTCACATTCAACCCTGCCCAGCCCAAGTCTCTCTGTTGTGTGGGGGAGCGAGGGAACAAGGCTACATGGAGAGAGGGAGGGGAAACGTGAGCGTGTCATGGAGGACAAGGAGGTAAGGGATGTTGTTTGGGTGCAAGGTGAAGATGGATGGATGGATGGAGGGATGGATACGACGGAAGGGGTTTTACTCCTCTTCCTTCTCCTCTCCGTGTGTGATGACGTAGCAGATGTTCTTGTAGTCCACATTGCCAGCCACATCTGGGGGGAAGGCAGCCCACAGGTTTTTCATCTGGAAGGTGGAGAACAGAGAGAGAGAACCGTCAGTGATCAGCTGTGAGAGCAACTCAGTAAATCTGGAAAATTAAAATATACAAATATTTTTTTTTACAGCTACTTTAAGTTATATAGGAACTGATATGCAGCGAAAATGTGAGGTAGCATTCAAAGGTTTGGCTTCATTATTCATAAGTTTGTAATTATTGTTTTCAATAATATATAACTAAGAAGAAAGTTATAATAAATTTAACATCCAGGATGAAATTTTAATAAAAGTAATATCTAGACTGAATTCTTAATAAAATTACAGTTCAGAATGAAATTCTAAAAATGGATATTCATGATGAAGTTCTAAAAAAATGTATATCTCAAATAAATGTCTAATAAAATTATCACCCGGAATCAATTCCTAATACAATTAGTATCCCGGATGACGTTCTAATAGAATTAATATCCGGAATACATTTCTAATAAAATTAATGTCCAGAATAAAGTTCTAATAAAATCAATATCCTCAATGAAGTTAATATCCCAAATAAATATCTAATAAAATTATTATTCAGAATTAAGTCCTAATACAATTAATTTCCATGGTGAAGTTCTACTAAAATTAATATTTAGGTTGAATTTCTGATACAATTAATATCTATGATGAATTTCTACTAGAATTAGTATGCAGTGTTAATTTGTAATAAAATTAATTTCCAGGATTAAGTTCTAATGAAATGAATATCCAGAATGAAGTTACAAAAATTTTTTTTAATGGAATAAATTTCTAATAAACTAACTTTTTGTAGTTAATATTAAAATAATTAAAATATCAAAATAAAAGTACATTTTTGTCTTGAGTTTAGAACATTTCAAAACTACACTGTATGAGATATTGTATGAGTCACATATTAAATAAATAATTGTATTTAAAAGAGTGTGTCATATATTTTAAATATTTTATATGTAAAGTAAAAAGTGTTACAACAATAGATTCCAAATAGCACCCCAAGATCTCACCTAGTCAAACAGCTTGTAAATATGTTTTTAAAAAAAGGTGCTATAAAAATAAATCACTGGTACTAACAGGAGTAGTGAAAAACTCTTATTGTCTATAAAAAATTAAACTTACCTCCTCAGCTGAGAATCTGTCGCACTGGGTGGTCAGCAGCTCCTCAATGCTGGAGGCAGACAGAAAAGATTTGATTGGTATTCGTCCAAAAATAACTCAATCTCAAAATATAATGAACATTAAATCAAAGCTGATTTGCGTTCCACAGGAAATATACATACAATTCCTTCTTGATTGTGCCGGTACCCTCAGGGTCCAGGACCTTGAAAGCGCTCAGGATGACGTCCTCGGGGTCAGCACCTTGAATAATCATAAGATAAAAAATTCATTATTTGCTGAATATGAACAGAGGAGTACACTGACCATCAAAGCTTGGGGCCAACTAGCTTTTAAAAGCTTTAAAAATGAGAATTGAGAGTAACAAAACTATATCTCAAATATTTTTTGTACCACTTTAACAGAAACATTCCGGGTATTCAAATTTCAAAAGAAGGCAAGGGGTCCCCAAACTTTTGACAGTGTGTAGAAGAAGACTGCAGGTGACCTACCCTTCAGCTTCTCGCCGAACATGGTGAGGAAGACGGTGAAGTTGATTGGGCCGCTGGCCTCCTTGACCATGGCCTCCAGCTCCTCATTCTTCACGTTCAGTTGGCCCATGGAGGCCAGCACGTCCCTCAGATCATCCTTGCTGATGATACCGTCCCTGTTCTGGTCAATGATTGTGAAGGCCTGCATGGTTGGGAAGAAAAATAGGTATAAATCACAAAGTAGATCTTCCCTTCAAACCTCCAAACAGTAACTTAATATGAGCAGGATGCCTGCTAATAGAACAAGTAGTGAAGAAGTGGCTGTACTCTTTGGGATCATTTTGCTAATTTGGTATTCAAGGAATTTGACAGATTGCATATTAAGATTAGACATGATCCTGGATGTATCCTATTCCTCAGTTTTAAAAATCTTGGAGATCCTTGCCAAGTACCCAGAAACACTGCTGTTTCCTCAGCCTGAGGGAATTGCCATTGTCAGCTTTCTGGAAGGCCACTACAGGACATCACTCGGGCTTGCTCATTTGTTTAATTAGCGTGGCTAACTGTGTCCATCTATCGTTGCCTCTAGTACTCTCAAGAACATCACTCATTTGCTCAGTTGCCTTCTAAAACCTTCAAGACATACCACTCAATCAACCTGGTTACTACCCTTAGCATAACACGGTTATGCTTTGCAAGATTACATGGATATACAAAGTGCCTCTATGGGAATAATTAAGAATGAGTTAATCTGTCAACATAAATATGAAATGTGTTTACTCTTGTGGTGCCAGACCTCGGTGTGCCTGTCACTAAGACCCCCTGAAATTGGAGAAGGAAACTGAGACACGAGGCACCCTTGGCAGCTGCTGGCCACTTGTCTTTCTAAGGCGATAAAATGGTCTTGGAATTCACGACAAGACTTCGGGAACATTTAAGGAGTAGGGATCGATTACACTTGTCCCCTCTACTCACCCCCCTACTGTTCTCCTTTTTGATACCCCTTCCATGTCCTTTGCTTCCATGCTCTCCACCAATCTTTCCCATTTTACAGTTACTTTAAGAAACAAGTCCTAAAGTCTTGGAAGTAGCCAATTCTTTGAAGATTCATGCTCGAAAGGGAAGAAATCTCATGGCTGGAAGTCCCAAGAGATCCCTCTGGAACTTGTTGGTGGTCAGTGAAATTTGTGCTAATCCTTTTGACCTCCAGAAAAATGAACTTGCCACCTGTGGAGAGTGGCTAAGTTGTGCTAGCATCTAACAACTGTTGGTACGCATTCCTGTGGGGTCATCTGGAGAAGAGGTTGACTGCTAACATCAGCTCTTTCAAGATTTAGCACATTCTGTTGCTAATATGAACATCACTTCCTCAAAAATAGGCAAAAATAAACAAGGAGTAAGAGAGCTACTACCTCTTCACCGCTAGCAATCATTTGATTTATTTTTATGAGGCAAGTTAATAGAGTGATCGAGGAAGTCTGGCATAAGCTATCACAACATGGTTTATTTTTATCCCTGGCATTCCGGGAACCTCCTTCAACACTGTACCTATGGAGTGGATAGAAGGAGGCAGCTGATCACGAGGTTTGCTTGGCTAGCAGAGCTAATCTTTACCTTCATGTACACAGCAAAATCTTTATGGTTGAATCAACACCTGCTGCACTGAATCGACACTTGCAGTGCAGAATGGTCCCCATTTTCATTTGTATCCTGCTGGGCAACAGGTCCTAATTCAACCCTGAGGATTTAGCTGTTTCAGTTTACACTCAAATTTGTTCTCATTCCTGTCATGTGCTGCTTAGATATGTTGTGGATCATGCTGTAGGTCTGTTTGTCTCACCTCCTTGTACTCCTGGATCTGGCTCTGCTCAAACATGGAGAACACGTTGGAGCTACCGCCCTCTGCTGCCTGCCTCCTCTTGGCCTTCTTGGGTGCCTGGAGTTGAACAAGAACAGAGAAGGTCTTCCTCAAGAACTTAAACCAAGAAACCTACTCAAGAACGTTCCTCTTCTGTGCTGCTCTTCTTCCAGTCGCTATCCCTAGGCTATCAAAAGCGGTTCCTTTAAGAATGGGTCTCTAATCCCAGGCCAAACTACTTCCTAAATCTGCTTGTCATCTTGAGAAGCAGACTTTGTTAAGATCGCATTGCACCACTGCTCCAACTTCATGGCTGAGAATGTCAACAGTGGTGTAGTAAGCCTTAATGTGGTCTGGCATTGGCCACTGAGGAATGGATACCTTGGCTTCTAAAGCCATCTTGGTTCCAATCTGCTTTCAAGGATGCACATCTAACAAAGCTGTCTGGCACATACAGTTGCCAAGCTTCTCTCTAGCGAAACAACGGTGCCTGTGGGCACCAAATAAAAAAGCCAACAGGCTTCTGGTGCCAAGTCCTATGGCTCTTCTAAGTGGTATCTTTTTAAGCGTTTAGTTCCCTTCAGATATTTTTTAGCTTGTTTAGTTCTCCCTGATGTTGTCGGGAATCCTGGATGCTGCCAAATGTCCAAAGCCGCACAGCGAAACACTCACCATCTCTCAAGGTTATGTGGAGTTTTGGGGATTGGTCAAGAGAGGAGAAGCCTTCGCCAAGTCGGTGTGACTGACATGTAAATGCTGATCCTATGGGGCCTTATATACTAGCTCGGGTGGTCTAACTATAGCCTCACCATCAGGTTTGGCAGTGAAAGAGAGAGCAGGGGAAAGTAACAGAGAGGAGGAGTGTGGTGGGCTTCAAGTGTCACCTTTCGTCCCCCCCATCCAAAATAGGATCTGAACGCCTTGGAATGAGGTGAATTCATAGTTTGGTGCAGCCTGTGGACGTATAAGGAGAGATGTCTAATGTTGAGGCCGGTCTGAATGTGACATTAACCCTGAGTATTATAGAAAACTTCACTTTGGAAGCTTGAAAATTACAGCTTCTTACCAGTTTTACCGTCTTCAAAGCAACCAAGAACAAGGAGCAGTAAAGAACAGCTGCATTCCCTTGAGTCATGGATTTGTACACGGCTTGGCTTTAGCGTGAACATCCTGGATTAGACGGATTTTTGATGAGGTCATACATCAAATCATCCGGGCTAATGTCAACACTTGGCTTATGAATGGACCGGCTATATATTAGAGCGCATAACACAAACACGGCCATGAAACTTTAAGAGCGTTTGCGGAAGGGCGCTGGTTCAGATCCAAAAAGGAAACAGATCCGTCAACATTATCTGATTGACACCATAACAGTACAAAGTAAACAAGTAAATGTGTGGAAATCGGGTGTGTAAATTATTACAATGTTCCTGTTCAAGTTTATAAAATTACTGAAAAATTCTAATCTACAGGTCAGGTGCGTTCACACTGTGAATTAACTATTCGGGTTTTTTTTAAGAATTTGGTCAGCCTTAGCCTTAAGATAACATTAAACCCTTTAATTCCAGGAAATGTGGACATTAGACTAGTAACTGCATGACCTACATAGCAACATCTCAATCATTCATAGTAGGTGTAGAAAATAAGCCTGAATAATTAGACTTGAGTTCAAAGGGAATAAATAGCACAAGTCATTGTGAAACCGATTAAATGGCCGGTAGTTGATAGATCAGATATCTTTACCTCTTTATTACTTTACTCCACTGCTTTACTGGTTATACTTTGCTTGCGAATCTACGCTTCAATCAGTCTCTCAGTTTTCATCATAAACCTGTAAGGATGGTATGATATTGATTTCTGTTGAGAGTGATGACCCCAGTACTGATCTGATTCAATCAGTAGTATGGCTCTATATTGGGGAGCACATATAGACCTCACTCTCAGTTTAGTGTAAGACGGTAGCCCCCCTGCTCCACACCATATATGATCTCCATTGCCCACCATCCATCATGAGTTGAACTGTGCAGGCATGTACTGAAATGCAGAGTTGTGAGAACCGATATGGCTTCTCTCCGAAGACTTGCAGGTCCACTTTCTCTGACATTCAACGCCCTCCTGCCCCACCCCCAGCTCACACTGTCCCCAATACGGACGGCATTGTGTCAGCATCAGGACGGCTCTTTTTATACTCACTTGTTTCTTTCCCAGAAAAATGAACGCTATATATATATATATAAAGCATATATAAATATATATAAAGAAAGTTTTTGCATATATATATATATATATATATATATATATATATATATATATATGCAAAACCTTCTTTAATTTCAATATAAATTAATGTAAAGAGAATTTTACCCCAAGCTATTTTGTAGCATTTCTATTGGTCTGTATGTATTTCTATTTGGTATGTATGTTTTTCTTTGGACAGGGACGATGTGTATGTGTGTCTGTACGTATGTATGTAAAAGAGCCACTTTCGGTTCCCTAAACAAACGTTCAGTGAACGGTTCCTTAGAGAACAGTTTCATAAATGAGATGTGTGAGTGAGAACCTGTCAACTATGAGAATGTTCTTTAGACCTTCAAGGTTTTTAAAGGTTATTCACCTCTCTTTCCAGTATGATTCCTTAGGGAACCAAAAGTGGTTCTTGTATGGCAGCCCTTTGTGGAACCTCTTCTGAAAGTGTATATATATACACAGCGCTGTGTAAAAACCAAAGACCACAGTTCATTTTATTGACTTCCAGTCAGAGCAGCCATTATGTACAAGTTCTTCATTTTTCTGGAGATGTTTGTGAGGAGATTAGATATAAGATAATCCACTTCCATGATGAAGGAGAACGTCAAGAGAAAATATGTGGAAAAACATGAGTTTCCAAAACTGGAGTTCAAAAAATCAGACAAAATGAAACTGATTCCTCTGGATCATTTGGACTGTGAGAAGCAGAAAATGATCACCCAACTTCTAAGACTTTGGAGGTGTGTCTGCAGATTCTTTGAGAAGCTGAAAGTGAGTCTCAGAATGGAAGCTGTAATAAAGGTAAAGAGTGACTCAGTGAACACTGAAAACATGATATTGTATATAGTTGTTGAGGCTTCTGTGTCATTTTCTGTTGACTATATATTAAATAGCATAAAGTGCATACACAAAACTTTTAACCAATGGTTCCTCAGAGAACCTTTTTTGTAAATAAGATGTGAGTGAAGAACCTTAATGGATCCACATAACGTAAATGTTCTAGGCTGAACCCTTAAATTGACAGAACCTTTACATTATGTGAAAGTTCTTTAAACCAATAAAGGTTCTTTACACCTACAAACCTCCCTAAATGGTTCTTTAGGCAAGTAAAAGTGGTTCCCCCCAAAGAACCCTTCTGTATATGCCTCTCCATCAACAATGTTATTAAATCAAAGTTGATTTGGGCTCCACAGGAAATGTGTGTACACTTCCTTCTTGGCTGTACCGGTTCAGCCAGGGTCCAGAACCTCGAAAGCGACCCAGATGACGTCCTTTGGGTCAGCACCTTAAATATTAATGGAGAAATGAGGAATGCACAGGCCAAGCTTGGGAGGCTAATTTGCTTTCAAAATGCTTTAGTAAAAATCAGAAGAATTTCTTCGCATATTAAAGGCACGTGCAAAAACGGTTGTGTGCAAAAGTTTGGGCGCCCCAGTCAAACAACATGTTTTGTTGATTTTCTAACATTTCTGGGTTTTTTTTGTTTTTTTTTTGGAAAAAAGGGAAAACATCAAATATAAGATGGGCTATAACTTTTGCACAGCCACATTATGTGCATATTTGTTTCCTAATAAACAGTAACTGTGCACTGAAATGTGCTCTCTGTAGAAACAGTGTTCGCTTCGACAAGAACATGTGATTTCATCAGGGGTGCGCAAGCTTTTGCACACTGCTGTATACTTAAGGGACTGTTCACAAAACGTTTTTCAGGAAACCATATACTTGTGCTGAACTTAAAAGCAAAATAAAAGCTTTTTTTTTACAACAAGGCCAGCTGCACTTTTTATTTATTTATTTAATTTTTTATTCACTCATTTATTTATTTGAACATCTGAGTTTTGGACGGAATTGAAGAAGCAAGAAAGGAAGGAGGCTACGTAAGACAGTGCAGGCATTCTTTAAAAAAAGAAAGCGTGTCAGCTGTTGCTGTTGAGACTGAAATAGCTTGAGCTTCCTCCAGTTCACACAGAGCGCCCTGCTTTAGCCACTCTGACCAAACCGATAATTGCGAAACGGCCTTAAGCGGCTTTTTCTCTCTCCATCACCCACACAGACCTTCCTCTCTCTCTCTCTCTCTCTCTCTCTCTCAGCATTCAGCCGTGCTGCTGTTCACTCTGCAGGCCTTATGATTAGTGATAAATGGTGTGTCATATTAACAGGATGATTTAGGCAATAGAGACACTAACGTGTCTATATATATCTCTATATAAAAATAAAGATAACAAAGCTGTTGTCAGCCTATTCTTTGAGCTATTTTTATTTGAGTGATTTTTAGTCATGCGCACATCACAGGAGTGACCACAGATGCAGAACTGTTTTTTTTAAATCTGAAACAAAAATTTTGTTGCTTGCTTTTCAGTTTACATTGAAGATAAACCATTGTAAGAAAACTGTCTGCCCTGTTAAAAGTATTTTTAAAGATATATATTTAAAAAAAAATGTAAATGATAAATCTAGTCCCAATATTTTTTGTCAGTGGTGTTACAGAAACAAATTACGCCATAAAAAAAAAGGCAGACCTTCTTACATTTTCCTCAATAAATAAATGAGCAAGTCTAATATTTTTGTCCCGTTTGTTTAATTTGGTTCTCTTTATCTACTTAAAGGACTTAAAATCTGATGAAGTTTTAGCTCAAATTTACGCAGAAATATAGAAACTTCTAAAAGGTTTACAAACTTTCAAGCACCACTGTGTATAGATACAATCATATGCAAAAGTTTGAACACCCCCATTCAAACGCAATCTGTTGATTTTCTGTGTGAAAATAAGTAAACCTACGTGGTAAAAACTGCTTCTGGTTTCTATTTTGTGGGAAAAAAAATAACACAAAGTGTGCCATAACTTTTGCAGCCACATTTTAGGTTTTATTTTCTTCCCTAATATGTTACATTCAGCAAATAAACACTAACTGTGCAATAAGGGGGAAGAAAATGCAGTTTTTACCAACAGAAAATCAACAGATTGCATTTGAATGGGGGTCAAACTTTTACATATGACTGTATCTTTATACAGTGGTGCCTGAAAGTTTGTGAACCCTTTAAAATTTGTCTATATTTCTGTATAAATTTGAGCTGAAGCAGTGTTCACTTACTTTAACTTAGAAAATCAACTAAATATTGGGATGCACAAACTTTTGCACACGAGTGTGTTCGAAGGAAGAAAGGCTAGCTTTGAGAACGGTCACTGAAATCTTTTCATATTTCTGATCAGTTTGGCTGCTTCATGTGTCCCAAAGAGATGGTCAGTGGTGTTAATCATACGACGTTAACTGATATAAAACATAAGGAAAGTAACATGACTGCAGTATTTGTGTGTGCAGTGTGACTTTAAGACTAAAGTAGCCTATCATTTAGGAAAGCTCAAATTTTGGTAACTATGTCAGTGGACAACTTTACTGATGCTCCTGCTGGGCCTCCTGCAGAGCTTTATAGCAGCTCCAATCAGATTCATCTGTTCCCCCCCCCTTCAGATGCTCCTCAAGGCCTCATCAACTCAGTCTGGACATCAGAAACGTATTAAAATTAAAGTTGACCCAATACGAACCGTTATTTTTACT